GAAAATCTTAATTTTCTTAAGAGTGGCTAGAATTAACAGATCTCCCAAAAGACTGAAGAAACTTTATCCTCCATTTATGGACAGACTTAAGCATTTTTAACAAATGTTCTATGAAGCAGAATTCTCTTGAAGTTTTGGTATGCAAACATTTTCAAGATATAATTGTAGAGACCTCTCCTAAACATCTACATTTTACTGAAAGATTACAGCAATAGATGTGGCCATATTTAGAGCCCAGGAAGCTGGGTAACCAAACTCTCGTCATCATTAACTCTTCAGTATAAACTGCATCATTGCATAACTTGTCTCTGGCTTTATTTTATCATTAAGTCATGAGCATTTTCCATATTGCTAAATGATTGTTATAATTATCATTTTAATTGCTCCATTACACCCTATCAGACTTATTCCATTATAGTTTCCTTAGTCATTCCTTCTTTATTAGACATTTAGGTTTTATTTCTCTCAAATTTTGATTATTACATATAGCATTGGCATAATCTACATTTTTATGTATATAGCTTCACTTTTATTTTCAATCAGTTCATTAGGAATAGTTCCCTGAAGTGACATTATCATGTCAAATGTTATTGAGTAATTTCCCTAAAGGTATGAATCAATTTACATTGCAACAGACATTTTGATATGTAGCAGCTTTGGGCATTAAGGGAGGTAGAAATATTACAAACTTAAATGTGTATGCACTCATTTACTGGGTATAAAAGGTAGTTATATTTAGAATAATGAAATTCAACATTTTTTCATGTATGCTTATTTTAATAATTATTTTTACTGTTATATTCTAACTTTTATGCTATTTAAGGTTTTTTTTTTCTTCCTTTCGGTCTTACTCATTTGTAGCAAATATTATTTGAGGGCAGAGATTATCAGAATAAAACATTTGATGTTTGCTACAGTGAGGCGTCTTTACTGTTATCATGAATAGATACTTGCATATTTTGGCAACATTATACCAAAACAGCAAGGTAGAACACACAGTTGTCTAATTGAACTCAACCTTCTTTTCTCCTAATTCTCCTTTTTTTTACAGAGGTTGAAAAGTCCTACTAGGGACTATTAAAGAGAGGGTGTTACTCTTTGACAGTGCTTTTTTGTGAAATAGAAGCAAATTCATTTTGGTGACTTCTCTATTTTTTTTTCTTCTCATTTGGATGATGTGCTGGACGGAGCTACAGTAGTCAGAAGAAAGACAGGGAACATAGCCATGATTTTAAGATGCTGAAACAGTGCCATGAATTACCTACCACTGTCTACATTCATGAACTATTCAAAGCAAAATCTCTATCTGTGAGGCAGTTAATGAACTGTCAGGGAGAGTTGGTTTTCTTTTTTATTGGCTCTTACTTTTTTGTTTTTAATTTTTTATTTATTACAATTTATTCACTTTGCATTCCAGCTGTAGCCCCACCCTCATTCCCTCCCAATACTGCCCTCCCTTCCTCCTTCATCTCCTCCCATGTCCCTTCCCCAGTCCAGTGATAGTGGAGGTCCTCCTCCCCTTCCATCTGACCCTAGCCTATCAGGTATTAACTGACTGTCTTTCATAGTCTTCCTCTGTGGCCTGGTCAGGTTGCTCCCCACTCAGGGGGAGGTGATCAAAGAGCCAGCCACTGACTTCATGTCAGAGACATCCCCTGCTCTCCTTATTAGGGAGCCCATTTGTAGATTGAGCTGCCATGGGCTACATCTGAGCAGCAGGTCTAGGTTATCTCCATGAATGGTCCTTGGTTGGAGTACCAGTCTCAGAAAAGACCCCTAGGCCTAGATATTTTGGTTCTGTTTGTCTTCTTGTGGAACTCCAGACACTTCAAGGTCTTTCTATCTCCCCCTTCTTGGTAAAAATAAGGAACAAGACAGGAGCCTATCACAGGGGGCCTCTGAAAGACTACCCAGCAGGGTATTAAAGTGAATGCTGAGATTCATAGTCAAATTTGGGCTGAGTGCAGGTAATTGGCTCTCAGTTTTAAACTAATTTAACTACACATTTATTTATACACTCACTACTGTGAGACTATCTGCTCACCAATGAAGAGGTAAGACATGATGTTTTACACATAATATCCAGAGATAAGGAAGTTCCCCTTGAGCAAAAACATGCACATTTTAATGTTGATGAGTTGTGACAATGGGAGACTACAATTTGAAGGCACTCGTGAATTCCCTGCCCAGAAAAGTTATAATCTGTGGGACAAGTGCAGTGTGTGCCTAACGAAGAAGTTGCAAAGGCCTCTCCATGTTCATCTGGGAAGTGGCCTTGCTTGTCCATTTATTAGGCATGGGCAGCGTACCATAGATGAGTGTGTGTACCATGCCTGGGAAATAATGTTAAGTAATAAAAGACATTGCATAGTCCTTCCTCTTGAAGATTTATTTCTACACCAGGATGTGGATGTGAGAAAGAGATCATTCATATAAACAAATATTGTTGATACTGTATGAGAGTGAAAATGAAAATAAAGTAGGAGAGAAAAAAATCAATAGGAGAGGGCAAAATGAAACTGCAGACTTGCCCAAGTTTCCTCAGTCAATAAAATAATATGAGTTCCTTTAGGAGTTTTCTGAACTAGTGTTTTTATGACACCAAATGCTGCTGCCTGAAATAAGTGAGCCTACACTTGGGATAGAAGCTATTTTCACATTATAAATGCTATCACTTCAGTTACAACCATACAGAAGTGGACTGGTGTGAAGAAATGGCCCCCAGCTAGTAGGTGTGTTTCCCACAGTGCTTGTCCAGTTATATGCCTAGCTAGAGGCTGAGATTTCCACATGTCCGGGGCACTTCCAGGTCCATAAGGCTGGAGCGTTGCTTGCTTCTTGAGGAGACATACCATAGACACAGGGCAGGTTACTGGATGGATGTGGCCTTTGCTTCCTTTACTCTGACCCAACCAAGTTATTCTCCAAGGAAGAAGAAAGTCCACACAAGATGAAGCAAAGAGTCAAAATTTAGAACTTCAGCACATGGAACAAGATTCTGGTTTTTCCGCTCTCTTTAAAAAGTGGTCTTTTCCTCCTGTGGACTTGAGGAGGAAATAAAAGCAATTTGTTCAACATCTGTCTTCCCCTTGTATTTTGGCTGTTTACAGAGGAACTTGCTTCCCTCAACTCTGATGTAATGTCTCCTTTCTTTAGAAAACAGGTGTCAAAACAAGCAGAAAATCCAATTTTCAAGCAGCTCAAATCAACTTGAGACTTTCTACTCACTGGGGTGCTTTTACCTTAGAAGTCTCCTGTGAGGCTCAGTGCTTCTCAGTATCCAATTTTGTGTTTTGTTTTTTTCCTCCACATGTTTAAAAGCAATTCTTGCAAATCAGTTCTGCCCTATCTCTGTCCTCTACAATATAGCGACATTGTTATTTGGATGTAAAATTGTATATTTTAATTTTAATTGACATAATAATTGCACCTATTTTAGGAAACAGTGTTGTGTGCATATAATGTCTAATGATTAAGCAGTGTGTACATGTGTATAATGTCTAATGATTAAGCAAAGCAATTATCACATCTATTACATCAAACATGAATCATTTTTCTTGCATTCTGAGATTCAAAATCTTTTCCTTTAGTTGTTTTGAAATACATAATAAACTGTTTACTAATTTGTAATTATATGTTGCAGCTATAATGTACTATAATATAATACATTGAATAAAACCAGTTATTTTGTACAATTATTCTATCCCAGTGAAATATATTATATGATCATAGAATAGCATTTTATTAAAATAAATTATTGATTTTTTTTATTTAGGTGTTATATGTAAGTCCCAGGGTTGTTCTGAATTGCATCTAATTAAACCTTGATTTTAGGAAAAATGAAAGAGAACCTGTGCTAACCTTTATTTATATTGCAAGGATTCTGAAACTTTTCCTCATCAGGTGTAAAGGGGACATAATTTATAATGCTTTAGAGAGGACCATGATCCCATTATACAGATGTGGAAACCAAGAATGATAAAGTGCCAAAACCCCACATGACACCATCAAGAAATAGTGAAGCTATGATATAAATCTAAATCAGATCTGAATTTTGAAAAACATACTTTCTACCTTGCTGTGTAACTGTCTGTATTTATATATATAGCATTTCATTGGCAGTAGTGAAGGCAGAACTCTCTTGCTGGTGTGTGTTATTAGCTATGTGACCTCAGATAAATTCCTTGGTTTTATGTGTCTGATTCTCCTTCTATGTGGATTAGAGAAAAAAATTAGCTTGTGGAACGTTGGTAAGAAAATAGCTTACCATGAAGTATGTGAGTCTGTGAAATGTTCGGAATACTTATTGGCATCGGGTAGGTTCCCAAAAAAAAGGATTGTCAGTTGCTGCAAACTGCCCCTCTCCCCACCTCCCTTTCTTCCTCTTAGAGAGGGAGGGTTTCACTATGTAGTTCAGGCTAGCCTGCAACTCATAATCCCCCTGCCCCAGCCTTCCAAGTGATGGGTGGCAGGCATACTCTATCATACCTGATCACCTTGCTCATCACTACTTCATGAACTAAAACATAGAGTGCTAGGCGTAACTTTGCTCTTGTGCATTACCTTAGCCCAGGAAAAGAGATAATTTGAGAGAAGAATAGCTTATTCTGCAATTTCAGCATTAATATGTGAGGGACTCGCCCTTTTTGCCATTGTTTAATGGCAAAATTGTATATCTCCTAACAAGATGGTTAATAATAAACCTTTGTTTTTACAGTAACCTTTCTTTCAAAATACAGAGGAAGCCTGTGGATGGAGGGGGTGATCCTGTGCCACTCATGCCCTTTATCATCCCCTTGTTCTTACTATCTTGTCAAGAAACACAGAATGTTCATGCGGCACAGGTTGAGAAAAGCCAGCTTTGGAAAGTGACCATAAAGCACTATAAATCCTCAATGTCTGTGAGAAATATACATCCAGAGTCTCTCTTCCTAATCTGAAAATGTCACTACTCAGTTCCCACTGAGCAGTCACTGTTGATTGCTTTTTTTAACTGGCAGGGTCTACAGTTTGGTACCAGAGAACTGGAGGAAATGGGAGCCATGTTCTGCTTGGGCCTCCTCGTCATGGAACTCAGATCTGCAAGGTGCAGCCATAAGCTCTTGGCTCGAGCTACAGCTCTGCTGAATGCAGATGTTCTGGACCACTACCTCCAGCGGTAAGATGCTTACATGGAAATCAGGGATGGCTCAGGTATATCCAGTACAAGTGTCGCAGTGAAGCAGATCAATGGCTCCGTGATAGACAGAAAATAAGGATGAGCTAATAAATGAAGGTAGGTTCAACCGTACTGCAAGGAAAGACAGGCTCGGAGCTTCACTGATCCTGAAAATGTGGGGAGGCTGTCACTTGTACACACGTGTAAATGTAAAACTTTACATATTTATAAATATATACTTAATGCTTACTGCTTATGATAATGAAGCTGAAGGTGGGTGCCACAACTTTATACAAGTATAGACTCTGAATTACATTCTTATACACGTAATGTTTTTGAGTTATTGCTCAATATAAAAACGGGGAAGTGTCTCACTGCTGACAACTACACACTTGAGTCAAGTATCTCTTTCTCAGACAGCATCATACTGGGCTAGAAGATAAGCTATCATTGGTCAAGAGAAATTAAGTCACATGGCAAGGAACGGCTGGGTATCTGGGAACTGAGCATCAGTAGTGAGTCAAGGGATGGAGAACCATTATCCAAATGAGCCTTTTGATGCAGTTTCCTGGAGACATATACTTTAGTCTTGACCAGAATGAATTCAGGGAAGGGAAGAAATAATGCCACCCAAAAGGAGAGGGGACCAAGAATCATCAGAAGTTCCAAAGAGGCTAAATCACAGCCTGCACTTTGAGCAATGGGACCAATGGGGGATTGACTGTCTGCTGGTAAATGAGGGAAGCATATAGCCATGCATTTTGCCTTCAAAAGCAAAGGCAAAGGTATTAACATGGGAAGCCATTTGTTTCCAGCTAATTTTCATCAGTTTTCTGTGTGTCACTGTTAAAATGCTGTTTCACTGTGGCTTCGCGTCAAATGGCCAGTCAAGCCTACAGAGATCCAGTAGTGTGCATTAATACAACTTTGGAAGGCATCCATTGCTCTGAGACTTAATTACCTAAATACAGTAATTAACTTGCTCATCACAGAGCGATATAGAACTCAGATGGCAGACTTAAGTAAATGCAATGCCCCCTCTCCTCCCCCCTTGGAGATACTGCCATCCTTTACTGTTGTTTGGACATCGCAACCACTTCCATCTGCCCCTGCTTTCTTCCTTACACCTCAGTGCCCGATGTCTGGCATGTTTGACATTGTTTCAGTTTTCCAACTCCCCCTCTGACAGCAAGTGCATTCATCTGCTTCGATTTGTATTTCTATTTGTCTTCTCATCTTTTCCTTCACTGAGCAGTCTTGGGTGGAGACGTGAGTGAATTTTCTTCCTTACCTTTCTCTCCCCTCTATCCTCAGCTGCTCATTGAGGGAAGATTGAGCAGAACTGGCATTGCTTGCTTTCCCTGAATTGATTGTGCCCGTCTGTTTGATCCAGTGCAGTAAGGATTAGTTGCCTGTAAACGAGAACAAGAAGAAATCTATCAGAGAAATGTCTTTTCTAATACAAGTCTAAAGAATCAGTGTCAGGCTTCAAATGCAATGGCTGCTATGTACGTACTCATAAGACGATAGCTGTAGCTGTCACACGCACCCCATACCTCTGACGATCAACTGTTAGCTGTTACCAGTCAAGGGTACTGAGGCTAGACAATGCCTCTTAGATAGACTCAGTAACTTAAGGACAGGATGCTTGAACAGAGGATGTGGTTAATATGCTTGTTTGGAATATATGTGAATTAAATTTGATAGATATGTTTGGTAGAGAACAACAATAGGGAACATAGCTATTCCATCCAGTTCTATTTTTAATTAAAATATCTGTTGTATTATGAAGCCATCGGCCAAAAGAGACTCCAGTCCGTGCTCAAAGGGCCTGATGACTACACGACTTGGGGAAAATTAAGCTCAAATATCTCAGAGGAAAAAAAATCCTTATTCACCAAAGTATGACAAAAAGGAATCTAGTAGAATAAAATCTGCTGGTTTCAAACCAGAGATAAGCTCTTTGAATGATACCTGGTTAGTTTTATCTGATAGAGTTAAATTGAGAAATACAGTAATCAATTGTACTTGATAAAAACTGCTAAACATGAAAAGTGAACACACAGGCATGACGTTCATTTTATGATGGCCAAGTACCACTGAACACAGGTCCTGCACTGGATTGTGGTTGATATGTCCAGTCACACTCCATTGGAGAAACTGATTTTCCCTTTCCCAGCGGCTGTTAACTGCAAATAGCTTCTTGGGTATGGGTGAAACTTTGTGTCTTCTCCAGTTTCTCAGTGCTTGGATTTTGGCTGGTTTAAATCAACAACAATAACAAAACAAAAAAAGAAATATGCAAATCATCAGATCAGCTCCTAGGAATTCACCCATTACCAGGACTTGATAAAAATGCAAAGTATGTGGCTGATGCTTGTCAACAGCTCTCCGTATGTTTTTTTTTTATTTATTTATAACTTATCTTAAAATATTTTGTATATGTATGAGTGTGTGGTGTGCGTGCACTTGCATGTAGCTGTGCACACCCCATAGGGCATGCAGAGGCCAGAGAAGTATATTTGATGCTCCTTATTCACATGAGAATGAAACGGTGATCCTCCACTCTGTTCTCCACTGTCGTGGCATTTTAGGTCATCCTTCCCTTTTCACATGGGTGCTGGGGATTTAAACTCAAGCATAAATGCTGGTACCACAAATGCTCTTAGCCACTAAGCCATATCCCTAACCTCTCTTAGTATGTTTTAAAGAAATCTGTGCCAAACTTTCCACGCCCTGCCCTTCTTTGGGTATAATAGTGTTTCCACTACCTTTTATAAAGACTCTGATGTCATAGAAGAACGAAAAGGGGAAAGGATGCTCTTTTTCAAACCCCTGCCTTAAAGAAATGCAAGCATATGGCATCTGAGCCTTTAACTCCCTCAAAGGCATTAACTCCTGGGTACACCCTTCAGGGAAGAGAACGTGTAGCTATACACACAGACACAATGTTTTCTGACAATTGGTTTCATGCCTCATTTGCCATAAAAACAATTAGAATGCCAACAGATCCACACAACAACTTGCCATCTTTCAGGAGGAAAGGAAAGGTGGAAACACTGAAATAAAATGCATGTGCTCCTTGCTTCCTGTTTTCTTTTATGTCCTCTTCCTCCTCCACGTTTTTCATTTATAAAATGTCTCCTGACTCCTAAAAGCCTCTTTCCATCTTCCTTCCTTCTCTTTTCCTTTCTCCTCCCTCTCAGTCTTCTGCCTGGCAGTAACCGTGTGCAGCGCAGGAATGGTTGCAGAGCTGCCTCCTCTGGAGGTGTGCTTCATCCACTGTGACAGATCTTTTGCAAAGTCATTTAACGGTTTTGCTGAGTCAGCTGCTGTTCATCTTGATTTGTGTCCCTCCACTGCCTTTTGATCTCCTCAGCTCAGAAACCCTATCTCTATGTGTTCCTCCATTAACAACAGAGGAATGTGCTGCGCCTCAGCAACCACTCAGTAACTCGTAGATGCTCCAAATCACAGATGGCCTCTTTAGTCTGACTCTTTAGCACTTACACAGAGAAAATTTGCTTGTTTTTTAGTTTGATGGGACAACACTAAAAACCAAAACTCTTATCCAGACTGTAGGAAAAATACTGATTTTATTTGTGTCTCTGTGTGTGTGGGGTGGGAGGGATGGGCGTACTTCTGTGTTGGTAGGTACAGACCACATGGCAATCCCAGATGTCCGTTTCCGCGTTATTTTGAAATAGCATCTCTCATTGGCCTGGAACTTACCACATAGGCTGTGTTGGCCAGCTAGCAGGCCCTAAGATTTCTGTCTCCATCAAGGCCCACCCCCACATCTGTATATTATAAGCATGTACCACCATGTCTGACTTTTTATGTGGAATCGGTGGATTGAATTCAGGTTCTCTTGCTTGCAAGACAAGCATTTTTTTTTTCAACTGAGCCATCATCACTTTATCCCTAGAGGAAAAAAATTAATAATTAAAAACAATTGATTTTCATTTTAAAACTATGTTTTTATTGTATAGAGAGATGGCTCAGCACTTCAAAGCCCTTTTCTTGCAGAGAACCCAGGATCATTTCCCAAAAACCACATGGTGGTTCACAACTGCCTATAATCCAGTTCCAAAGGATTTAAAGTTTCTTCTGGATTTTGTGGGCTCCTGAATGCACATGGTACGCACACAGACACAGACACACACAGACACAGACACACACACACACACACACACAAAGAGAGAGCCTTTTATTTTATTTTTAACTTCTTGTTGATTTTTTGTGTGAATTTCACATCATGCACCCCAATTATCTCACACGTCTCCCCATCCCTTCATATCTGCCCTTGCAACCTCTCCACAAAACCAACCAACCAACCAACCAACCAACCAAACAAACAAACAAACATAAAAACATCTCTCCATGGAAGCTGCATTGTGTCCCACAAACAAAACAAAATAAAACCCTTTTGTCCACACATCTTTACTTGCAAATGTTCATTGAAATGAAGCATTGGTCTGGCTCTAGGCCCCTGGCTTCTGCTACACCATCAATACTGGAACCTCTCTGGGACTCCTCTCAGAAATCCTCTTGTTGTCCTATGTCATGGAGATCCTGCAGCTTTGGATCTGCTGGGCCAGCTCCTTCACACACTCCAGCAGTTTACAGATGGGATAGATGCCCCCTTTTAAAAAGAAGGAAAATATAGGTTTTTTTTTTCTATAAAGCAGAATATATAATATGGAAAACACAGAAAGCACCCCACCCCTGTCTTTATAACCCCCAACAATGTTGAGAATGAATATATTAAAAGATTACATTACTTTACAACACATTTTCTAGCATTCTGTACTGACATCTTTTAGGTGGTGCTGACATGTAATTTCAGCTACTTGGGAGGCTGAGACAGGATAATTGAAAGTTCAAACTTACCTGAACGATAGGGAAAGTGAAAGGCCAGCCTGAGCATCTTAATGAGTCACTGCCTTGAACTAATATGTGAAAAGAGGACTAAGTAAGGCTCTAACTAAGTAGTCAAG